AGGACTGGGCACTGTTTCCTTCTGTTGTACATAAGGGTCGCTACTGACTCGATGGCACCTAACAACAACAACAAAGGCTTTTGACTGTGTGAATCATGACAAGCTATGTTTTGCTTGGATCCATAATCAACACTCATGGAAACAGCAGTGAAGAAATCAAACAACATATTTCAAAGAGTTCAAGAACAAGGACTAGAAATTTAAGGACTAAGCAGTCCCTGGAGAAGGATGTCGTGACTGGTAAATGGAGGGTCAGTAGAAAAGAGGAAGATCCCCAACAAGATGGACTGGCACAGTGGCAGCAGCAATGGGCTCAAACATAACAACAGTTATGACGATGGCACAGGACTGGGCAATGTTTCCTTCTATTGTGCTCAGGGTTACTGTGAGTTGGAACCAACTCCATAGCACCTAACAACATTTTTCTCATTTGTGGAGCAAGCTTTTTTCCTTTATGCAGCATCCAATTCTTGTTCTGGACTCCTGGGTTGGCACTGTTGGATCAGCACTCGACTGCAAACCACAAGATCAACAGTTCAAACCCACCAGTTGCTGCTCCTGCTATACGTGGCCACTATGAGTCGGAACTAACTCAAGGTCACTTAACAACAACAATTCTTGTACTATGGACTGCTTGTGTGATGCTGTAGGATCAGCACTAGATGTAAACTAAAATGTAGGCAGTTCAAACCTACCAGCTACTCCCCGGAAACCCTAAACAGGGTCACTATGAGTCGGAACCCCATAATTCAGAGACTCTTAGTATTACTTTTCCACATTCCAAATCCCCAGTCTTATGCCAGAGTGAAGAAGCAGCATCTGACCTATCATATGGAATTGGGAAAGGAATCTGATATTCTAAATGCTTTCTAAAATAGATTTTCATACAAACCTCCTGCTTTAGCCCTCCCTCCCAGAACTATATGGTGCCACCAATTTCTGAATTTTTCTGGGATAAGGCTCCTGCCTCAAATCAAATTCATAATGATTTTCCTCTCTGTCAGCTATAGACAATGCCAGTGGTCACAGGTCCACTTACTTCCCAGTTTCCACAATTCTGTCGATATGTCCTCCTCCCCCCATTCTTTATGTCCTTGAGGATTTATATGACTTGAAATTTTTGTGATCTTGACCTAATTTCAGGGGAAATGAAAATAAACACATAGGTTTAATCTACCATTTTTTTTTAACCCTACACCCTTCATAGGATCTTCTGATAAGCAAATGAAAAACAAGGAGCCTCGTACTTTTACATAATGAAGAAGAATTCTCAGTCTCCCCCTGCTCCAAAAAGTTTCGTTTTAAAAAATGGGCAGAGTTCATCAAAATTCAAGTCGACTTTCTCAATATGAGTTCCCCGGGAAGCAATGGGATCAATGTACCGAGTTGAAGTGGACTTGGTTTAGGAACAACCTGTGAGCCATCTAATGGGAAACCAGACAGAATTCTCTCAACGTAGTTACCACCAAGGAAAGAAAAGCAATCCAAGACTTTGAAAAGTTAAGACAGCCTCCACATAATGAATTGTTACCAACATGCTTGCTATTCCTTTTCAAAGTTCTACTTATACCTCTGGTAGTGGTTACAAATCAGGCTGCTAACCTCATGGTCAGCAATTTGAAGCTACTAGCAGTTCTACAGGAGAAAGATGAGGTTTTTTGCTCCCATAAAGATTTACAACCTCAGAAACCCTATGCAGGGTCGCTATGAGTTGCAATAGACTCCATGGCACATAACCAAACCACTTATTATCGTAAATAAAATATATCAGAAAGATAATTCTCAGAAATAGTCACAGTCAGAGCATATATGAAAAACCACCCAGAAAGAACTGACTTATTGCCTGGATTATCTAAACAGTTTATGGATCAATCATCTGAGGTTAAGTTACAGATATGGGTTTAGTTATTCCACAGTCTGGATGAGGTTGGGGTGGCAGAACAGCACAGGCCTGAGAAGGGAGGGGCCTGGAAGCAAAGGCTAGAAGGAGAGGCCTCTTTCCAGTTCGGAAAAACAGCCAACTTTATGATCAGCCTTCTCAGAACATGGGACAGCACTATGGTCTACTTTTATCACAAAAAACAAAACAGTCTATTTATTTCTTCACTAGATAAGAATGAGCATATTACACTGGGTGGAGCCAAATTTATTGTTTCTTTTCTTGGAATGACTGGCTATACCCAGAAAAAGTTATCACTTCCAGTCAGTCCTTCATCTCAAAGGGGTTAGACTTCCTCAAAGGGCAGTCATTTGATTGTGTGGTTACTACTTGTTCATGTTGCACAAGCTACGTTCCAGCAGTACCACCTGAGTTGCACCAGGACAGATAAGCTTTGCCATCTCCCTAGACTACAGATCCTGCACAATGTCATAAATGCACCTAAATTGTACAGAGTGGAAAAGTAAAAACTGCAAAAGTGAGCACAGTATCTGACTGTGTCTCAACATAGATAATTAAACAACACAAAATGGTTAAATATGTCTGCAAGGGACCTAACTGCCAAGACTATTGTCAATGTGCTTCAGAAGAAATAGGAAAACAAACAAACCCCATAGCAGCATGGATACATGGAACTGATATCATAGAGCTAAGAATGTCTTATACAAATAAGTAATATTGGTCTGATAAGACAGTACATTACTTGGGTCGAATATTCAAGTGTCTTGAGGACAAGGGAAGTAAGGACCAACGGTGTGATTTTTGTTTGCTTTGTAGTTTTATTGTATAGACAGGGTTTTCTTTTTAGGAAACATGGGCAGATAGCCAGCATGCAGCACAAATGAAAACAATAGTAAAGTAGATGAAATTGTAATCCTGGCTCTCATCACGTAAATACCTATTAGTGCCTGGCTCTGGATTAAGCACGTTGCATACAGTGTGCCATCTAATTGCTGCAAACATTTCGTGAAATAGGTGTTCATATCTTCATAACCTAAATAGAGACAGTCAGGCTCAGAGAATGTAAGTTGTCTAAGGGTACATGGCTAGGAGCAAGGTTGAGCTTCAAAGCCTTTTTATTCACCACAGGCTGACTGACTGTGCATGACTCATAAGTGGTGTGACTGGGAGAGGAGAACTGGACTTAGCTTATACCACCCATCTCCCTTCGCATTCCCACTGATTTGCTTGCGCATGGTTTTCTGCTCAATGCTTCTGTGGACTCTCTAGGAATATAGCCCGGCACCTATCATAACCTCATAGGTCACAGAGGAGAGGTGTCCATCTTTCCAGGAAAGATTCTCACAAAGATTCCTCTCACTGCCTTCATAGACGAGACCCTGTCTCTGATGGACAGCCAGCCTGAGTCCCCTCATGCCTCTTGCTTCCACTCTGGAGCTTCCTTGGAACCACTGAGGCACAGAGAACCCTGGGATCATTAAGGGCTATGCCTACTCACTGGCTCGCCTGGTTGGGCTTATAAGGCTGCAGATTGCAGGCTGCAGGTTGCAAACTGCAGGTAGGTGAGCAGCTGCAGGTTGCAAACTGCAGGTAGGTGAGCACTGTGGTTTATGA